GGGGGGCGAAGGCCCGCCAACCGGCGGGTCTGCTTCTTCTGCCCAGGTTCTGAGCTCTGACCCGTTCCCTGCCCCGGAAGCCGAAAAGAGAGCTCTGGCAGCCCTGGCTTGGTTTTGAGGCTTGCAACAGCAGCGCTTCAACATGGAAGATGGTTTCTCGTGAGAACAGTAGACTCTTGAAACGCTCAGTGGACTCTTTCAGATGTACATGGCAAGCAGTGATGGCAAAAGGGGAAGTCTACTTCTTCCAACGATGTCAAATTTCGGCCTTGCCATCTATACAACCAGCCCAAAGGCAGACATTTTGCACAGGTGGAGGATCCAGGGATAGCTACTTCGCCCGCAGTTTCGCTGCATGCCATCAGAGATCAACCGAGTACATGACTTGGCTGTGTCTACCATTTTGTGTAACATCCCAGGACGAGTTTGATCTTTGGGTGCTACACACTTGTGATCCATGCCAGTACCCGACTTAGAAAGGCTCATCTATATTAAAGATCTCAACAACCTTCCAGAGGAGGCCTGTAGAGTTGAGACATGTTGGAAAACATGTCCACCACCCGAAGTCTGCAATACAGGAACCCCATGCCTCTGTGGGGGCCGCTGGCCGCGCTGGGGGAGGTGGACGTGACTTGGCGAAGAGAGAAGGGACGTTTTTTGTTTTTCACCAAAAATAATGCGAACGAAACTAGGTCAAACAGCCAAAAGAGCCAAGAGCCACAATTTTGGCATTGTTCTGAAGCAGGGACAGAGTATGCGGCAAGATCAATGTGAGGAGTGAGGATGTGGAATATTCCCCGTAATACATCCTGATAGTCCTGATAGTCCCTATACATCCTGATAGATAGTCCCTATACCTATACATCCTGATAGACTTAAAAGGACTCGAAGATACTTGAAGATATGATTTTCAAGGTGATCCACACCCGTGTTCATGAGGCGTCACGTCTGGACCACCTGCTCCAGCCTTTGCGCACCAGAGCACCAGACAGTTTTTGATGACCTGAAAAAGGACTCCTCACCTCGGGGATACCCAAGTGGGAGAGTTCTTTTTTCTTTTTTGGGCCAGACAAGCTCTGTTGGTGGGTGTTTTCAGGCGATACCGCGTGAGATCGCGTGAGACCGTATCTTCCAACTGCTGCAACAACATTATGCCAACCAACTGGCTGGTTCAGATGAAAAAGGGAACATTTTTTGTTCCAGTGGAATCCAGGTCGCCGGGTGACAGATCGCTGATTCCAGCGCCATCCTTCAGCGTTCACCACCTTGCAGATGTTGCCCAAACCGTGCACGAGGTGCCCCCGTGCGTTTTTCGAAGAGATCCCGAAGGTTCAGGTGCTCAGGTGCTCTCTGAACATTCGGATCCGGGCTCTTTTCCCCGTCAACTCACTCTGGAACCTTACTCAACTCACTTGGCCAACCCCTCTGACTTCTCGACATCAACTGGTGATTTCCTCCGGCAAGCAAGAGCACTCTGACGAGTGAGATCAGGCAGAGATCAGGCAGAGCGCTTTTCCGATTTGGGAAGCCATCCGCACCCATCCACTGCCCGTTTCCTAGTTTCTGGTTGATCGGTCGTGGCTAGCCTACGCTTCCAGACCGGCCGCAAAGTCCAAATCAAGATTGGTCTTATCACTGTATTTGACCTGTAGGGCTATGGTCCACGGTGAAATACTTCACCTTTGGATTGCGTTGGGGACAACCTTCCACAAACCAAAAACCCGATCTTCCGAGTCTCTGCAACGTCAAAGAGGCCCTTTATGGGCTTTTGACATGGTTGCTTTCACAGACCAGGACCCGACACGGGGTGCCCTGTCTGGAAGCCTATAGGTAGTGTGGGGTAGTCACAGCCAGGACACCCCTTGGAGGGTCCAGGGACTTTCTCTTCACATTTTGCCGTCCAACAGTTCCAAGACAACCAAAGCAGCCTTTTTTTTGGCGCGACAACCATGGTCATTGGGCTGTGCGGTACACCGCAAATCCTGAGGCCAGCCTGCACCGTGCCGAATCATACCGCGTGTGTGCCTAAGACCATCCACTTCAATGTCACTTGCTTTGGAACGATTGGTGTTGAAGAAGCGGGAGAAGTGAAAGGCTTCCAGCACCAAGTCAGGGCTGTCTAGAACTCAGTTTCTCCTCACCCACCTGCACCTTTAGGAGATTTGACACGTCACCCAAACGTGATCACCTTTGACCCACCTGCAAGAGACACGTGTCTGACATCATCCTGCTTGGATTTGGTTCAAACGACAGGCATCAGTCCGTGCAGTTTTGTTCAAAGTGTGTCATAAGTCAGGGAATTCGGATGAAAGAGAATCACAGTATCATTCCAATCTCACACAACCTTGCTACTAAGTAGCAATTTTCCGAGCAACACTTCATGTCAGATTGGCGTGCGTCACACAAATCACACTTGGTTTCACCTCGCGGTGCAGCTTGGCCCGCGGTGCGGTTTCACTTACCCTGCGGAGCAGTTTGGTCCGCAGGTGTGGCGGGAATGACTTCATTTACATTTGATTCCGCTGTGATCTTCATGAAGGTGCCAGGGCACGATGCCTCCGAGATGTCTATCGCGGTGGACCACAAGATGATGGCGCTGGATGCCATTCGATGGGAAGAGACTTGGGGTGAACGGAAGATCGAACAGGCGGCTCAGGCGCAGCATTTGGGAAACCGTCTCCTCTCAATTGAAGGTCGGAAGATTGCACCCAACGAGATCTTGCACGAAGTTCTCTCTCAGTCTGCATCTGGATGTGTCACATTGTCGGACTACTCGCAACTGGGCCCTTCTGCCATGCAGATTTGCTCCATTGGCGCGACCGAGTTCCGTGGCATCACTGTGGTGCAGTTGGAGGCTTTGTTGGACTTCGTGAAGGACATGGCACCTTATTGGTACGAGACCTTTGGCCCTGCAGCTGGTCAGGCCCTTGCCTTTGAGACCTTCAACTTGTACCACGCCAATAACTGGATCATTCTGCCTTCCACTCAGGGTAGGGGAGGACGAGATGCCTGGGTGAGCCCGTGGATGATGGAGATCCATAAGGGTTGCAGCTACGTGGAACTGGTCTCCCGTGAGGCAGAAGCCCAGCGACCGCAATGGTTTGTGTCTCATGCATGGAAGGAACCCTGGTTGGTTCGGAGGATCAGGTTTATTTAATGTGATTTATACCCGAACGAAGTCCAGTTCGACTATATTTTGACCGACTGAAGGTTTCAGGACATTCCGGGTCACTTGGGTCACCGTTCGTCAGACCCTTCTTTTTATAGTCTGACCGACTCCCAGGGTATACATGTTCAAACCTGGGTGAATTCCCACACCGGTGGATTCTTTTCAAATGCTTCCGTCCGGTTCCTGGACGGCCAGTTTTCAGGAACCCATTGTGAACTTTGTCGCCTGCCTCCGGAAGCATTTGACGGTCCGTGATCTTGGGAGAGAGAGCCCCTACTGGGTCTCCTGGTTCTGCTTATTACGGTGTTTTTTTGTTACTTTCCCGAACTAACTGGGTAAATCCATATATCATATATCCATATATCATCATATATCATATAAATCCCCAAACCTGGGGAACCTGTTTTTTCTGTTCCAGGGTTCGCCGGTGATTTTTTAAGGTCTGTGCCTATGCCAACAACCAACACCGGGTGGACGAGGAGATCCCAGAGGATCCCCGCGAGAGCGCCTTCTTTCGGGCCATGAAGGTCTCGGACGGAGTGCTCTTGATCTTGGACACGCATCATGGCTTTTCTGCAGTGTGGGCACAATGAGGGGTTCTTACGGTAGGTGAAAAGCAGCTGATGGTTTTTGCTGCGAGACAAGTTGTCTCGCTTGAGGTGTCAATCTCGTTAGGTCTTCTTCTTTTCTCCGGACATGCTCCCAAGTGCACTGTCGGGACGGCAGATGTCCTTCCACTCACTGCAAGATTCCCGAGGCATGCAACGCCATTCACGCGGATTTGGTGCTGTTTTGAGGAGAGTGTGGCAGCGGCGAACTCAGTTCTTCCTCAACCTGAGCAGGGAATACTGCAGCAGTCATTTACGCTGGAATACTGTTTGTGATCAGCCAACACCTGTGACATTGTAGATGCGAAAGGAGAAGCAGAAGGATCACCACCTTTTTTTTTATGGTGCAGAACACTTAAGAATCTTTTCTTGACATGAGTGAAGTGTGCATGTATATCGGCCTCCCCCCTACCACGGGTCGTGTCGCAGCGGCTCGTGTCATCACACCTCTTCCAGCCCCCTCTGTCGGGCGTGCGTTGCGTGAGGGAGTCTCACAAGGAAATGTCCAAATGCCACTCCATGAAAGCGGAGTGAGTGGAAGCGGAGTGAGTGAGTGGGTGAGTGGGTGAGTGGGTGAGTGGGTGAGTGGGTGGGTGGGTGGGTGAGTGAGTGAGTGAGTGGGTGAGTGAGTGGGTGAGTGGGTGAGTGGGTCTGACCGCCCTGACCATCACTGAGGTCGAAGAACGGGACTCCTCTGGGGCCTTGTTGTTGGATCTGGCCACCGCGTCCGCGGACGCGAAGGACGCCAGCCTTGTGACGGACGGGCTGGCCGGAGTGGAGACCCAGATGATGCCCCTGCTCGGGATGCTGGCGAAGAGTCAGCGAGAAGCCAGCTTCCCAGCTGAGATCATGCAACGGGGCTTGGAGGCTGGAAGCAGGGCTGGAAGCGGACGGTTTTTTCGACCTTGATCTGATATACCCGAAGGATCCCGACGGGTGGTCGATAGATCCCCACCCGACATGGGTGGTGCTGGGCATATGTTCGTTTGTACTATATAGATTTTTGTGGATATGGCGTTGTATTTTGAGAGCTTTGGCTGCTGACTTTGTGTTCGGTGCTCCACAATTCCTGGAGAGAGGGTGTTGCTTCGTCTGGTTTCGTAGGCTTTTGCATGATGCTGTCAGGTTTTGTGAACATTGGATCTTGTGTTAAATAGTTGAGTATCGTCCAAAGACTTGTCATTGACAGGAATTTATCAATCTTTGCCCACTGGGGATCTAGTATTGAATGGTGAATTGAGAGAGAGAGAGAGAGAGGATGAAGGTGAATTTAAGGTCTCTTGCTGAAGACTGCTGGCACCTAGTGGGCTGGTCCGGATGGGGAGTAGAGTAGTGCCCGACATCAGACATTGGGTCTCGACGTGATATTCAATACACCCTGATCTGAGCCTTCACCAGCCAGTTGTTTCACCAGCCTTTGTAGGTGGACATCAAGCAAGCGCAAGCGGCCGTGGCAGAAGATAAGAACCGCATCCTGAACAGCATCGTCTCACGTCACCCGGATGCCGTCAGTCGGGTGACTGGAAAGGACTTAGCACTCCAGCCCCCGCCAAGCCATGAAAGCTACGACTTGGTGAATCGCGCCTTGGCCTCGCACTTCTCGTTGTCAAGCTGGTTCGGCTTCATGATGAAGGGACACAACTGCCAGAATCTCATGGAAGCCATCTCAGCGGACCAGGGCCGGCAGATGGTGCAGTTGTCCATGACGGGATGCTTTAGTTTCAAGGACAGCGATTTGCAATCACTTGTGCAGTGCTTGCCAGAGAAGCTGCGTGTGCTTCGTTTGGACTTGGCCTTCACAGGCAGGTTCCGTAGGGCCACGGGAGGGTCACTGGAGGTTGGGTCAGACGTGCACATTCCCGTCAAGACTCTTGGCTCTAATTCCAAGTGGTGGTGGTTTATATGGGGATTCACCATAAACAGCCTTGGCAAATTTTGGGGATTTGAGCCAAGAGGCCTGAAAAATATCAAGTGAAGTCGGTGTAGTCATAGATGTCGCTTGGCTTCTTCCTCGTTCTTTTTCACGTGCCGATCACGAAAAGAGGTTTGGACTCGCCCTTTGACGGGTCATTGGAGTTTCCGAGTTCCTTGGAGCAGCTGGTGTTGCGCTTCGCGGGTTCTTTGCAAAGCATTGAGGGTTTGCCAGCCATGCTTTTTCCTTTGAAACTGAGCCGCTTGGAACTCTGGCTCTGCAACTTGCCAGCTTTAAGCACCATTGGCCCCTTGGGAGATGCGATCAAGAGGCCTGGTTTTGCTTATAGAGGGTGATTTTCTATTTTTTCTTATGGGTGAAAAACAGGCTAGTGGCGAGACCAACAGCTGAAGAAGTGCAAACGAAATGCTTTCCGGGCGAATCCCATCAGAACCTTCTTTTTCCCAGTTCTGCACATCCAAGGAGATCTCGTCCAGGAGAGTTGGTACTGCAGCTGAATGGCTGTCCGCAGCTATCTTTGGCCATCAAAGAAGACCTGTTCCTTGTCCCGATCTGCCGCCGCATGTAGCACATGTAGTGCCCTTGCCTGTCTGCCCCTCCGTTTGGTCTCGCCGTTGTCTGACGCCCCGAACGCCGGTTAGGCACCGATCTCTGCAAGATGTGCTCCTGTGGGCACGAGTGAAGCGACACGTTCACATTGAGGACGGGGTGGTGGGGAACGACCGTCGATCCGTCGAAAACCAAGCCCAGGTCGGCTGTGGATCAAGACCTGGTGGGTTGACTTCCCTGGTAGTCTATTCTGTTCCACCCTCGGTGGTCGACCAGGGTGTCCCGGTTTGGACCAAAGGGCCAAGCTCAGTGTGTCAATCAGCTTGGCACTTTTCTTCCCCCTTCTCGGCCTTCCGAACTCACCATCCACACGGGGTGCTCCAGGTTTCCACCATGGGGTTTCCAAGTGGGGTGCTCCAGGACGTGTCCAGTGCCTGGTCATGTCTTCGAAGAAGGGCTGATGCCGTGCCAGAGCGGACCCTGACCGTCGAGGCAGGGGCCAGATCGATGGTCTTGGGAATGTCTCTGACGGCTTCGACACACAGTGTTTTTTTCATGGTTCAACCCTGGTTCCGGGTTGGAGAAATGGAAGAGGACTTGATGTGGCGTTGATCAAACATGGTCAAAGTCTTTCCGACTGAAAGGTTTCATTCTTGCAGATGGTCTTAGCACCGCCATGCGTTGCTTGCAGAGCTCTTTTCGTTGAATGTGCTTTTCCAAAGAACAGTTGCACAACACATCACAAGAGGTGTCGACAATACAGAGAGTTTCAATAGATAGAAATATTTAGTCTATATAATCAAAAAACGCAAGAGTGAGAGGTCTAGTTAAGCAACGAGAGGTTCAACAAGTATTGACTGCCACTTATTGTCAGTGAGATTCTTAAACGTGAATTCAATTCAGAAGGCGGACGTTCAAAGAGAAACATGCACATTCAAGAACAGTGACGCTCAATCGAGAAGAACATTATTCGAGCCAGAATGGTTCGTCTGGACAAAAGTCAGCATGTTTATAAAATATACAGTACAATATACATCTAAGGACAATCAATTCTTGCAGCTTCGTTATCCCCAATCCCAAGCTTGCAGCCTCCCGCTGTAGTTCAAGGCCCACGCTTCACGAAACGCTACATGTGAGGACCCCAGCCAGAGCTTTTGCAGCGACACGGAGATTGAGATGATGTTGCCATACCCTTGCAGCCAAGCAGGATGCAAAGAGTTCCACCCAAATGAACATGGCTTTTGCTCTCGCCATCGACATTCGCGCTTCTTCTGGAAAGTGAGGCCTACACTGCGCCTGGAAGCTCGACTGCCATCGGATTTGTTTTGTTTCTCAGATGATGTGCAGTATACGTACCACACGTACGGTGGGCAGTGTACTTCTTCGATTGTGCACGGCGGGTGTACGGGTTTACGAAAGAAGAACACGGCATGTTGTGATACGTCTCGCGAAGTTCCATGTTGCACCTGCTTCCTCGGGGGCCGGGGGTGGCACTGCGCTTGCTTGCACGCTGGCAAGGCTTGGCAAGCAGGAGAGCTGGCACTGCTCTTTTCCATACAAGCTCTATTTGAAGCAAGGAGCAGATTTGTGCTGGTCTTCTTCGGATTGTCTTTGCACTTTGGCTGCACTGCCTTTAGCAAAGTGACCCAGAGCATGCATGAATCACACCTAGCTGCACCTTTTCAGATTTTCATCACAGATGTTTTTTCCACTCTTTGCAGAGAGCTCTTTCTTTTCCCAAACGATGCCCACAGGTTTCAGAACGACGTAACGGCTTAGATCATTTGCTTGCAAGGTACCCAGTGCTGTGTATGATGATGGCAGATTCAATGGGTCTCTCTTTTGGGCTGACCTTTTCAACCACGCTGCTGGTGGTTTTGGCCAGCATGGCCTACACTTCCGGGCGCTTTGATTCCATGCGAGGCGCTATGCAGAGGTTGTGCTTGGCGATGGAAGCGAGTTATTTCCAGGTGCGGAAACCAAAGCTTTTATGGGTTCGGGCCGAAATAACTGCTACATGTGAAGCTTTTGTGTTTGTAATGAGGCAGCGGAAGGAAGAGGAATTATCGTGGATTAATATGCACAGCGGATCATGAGAGATGCGAAGTTCCATGGTAAACATTTTTGTTGTTGTGAGGTGGAGGTGGAGGTGGAGGTGGAGGTGAGGTGAGGTGAGAGAGTGAGTGAGCGGAATCTGTAAGTTCGCTTGGTGTGAGTTGGGTTGGGCGACCAAGGCTGCTTAAGTACCCGACCGAGGCACATCAGTGGAACCTCTCATCCATCCCCTTAAGAGCAAGCCGAACACGGGAACTGCAAGGATGTCAAGAAAAATACACATTACATTATAAAATTACTATAAATCTTGATTGAATATAGGATCCCCTCCAATATCCTCCAACATTTGAAACTGCAAGGCGAGTGAAAGTCATGAGGTGAGATGAGATGGTATGCTTGGTGAGAAAGGTTGGTCGGCAGGCGGATGGGATGCAGAGTATAAGCATCTGGCTGCGACTCAATAAAGCCCTGACCGAGAGATTGAGGGACCGATTTGAGATGTCCATCGGTGAAGGGGGGTGAAAGTTTGGCACCCTTGGAAAATTTCAAGGCCCTGAAAGTTTGAGTGCGTTTTCGAACGAAACACTCCAAACAAGCAGAGTGCCCAGTGACTGGGCAACGTTTTTGTGCACACCTCGGCATGTGCCACATGCATCGATTGTTCGTGCGCAGGTCGCCATCGCACCCGGGGGCGACCGGTTTCCCTTAAGGCAAACCCTGTCGATCAATTGAAGAAAGCCGCTAAAAAAAGACAACTGGACCAAGTTGATTGCCAGACCTCCGGGTTTTGCTGCATTGATATAAATGGACTTTCACACAAACCCGGGTCTTTAAAGATCACCCAACGCCACCAAAAAGCCCTCGTGAATGAAACTCGAACACGCTCCCATCCAACCACCAAGCTCATCCAATCACTCCTTTCCGGGACTTTCCGGCACCACGTTGTTGACCCAACCCTGCCTTGTCTCCCGACCAATACCTGGGGTTGTACCCAACCACTTGCAGGTCTTGCATACGACGGGATTGTCCCAACTCTTCGAGGAGGTGGGAGTGCTGGAGACCTTGCGACAGGACGTACAGGATCTGAAGCTTGTTCTTCCATCGAACGGTCGGGATCGGGTCTCGGTGAACCATCCCGCCGGTCCACGGGGGGTCCGAGGCGGCGAGACCAGTCGATGCTTTTTTTTTGTGTGTTTTTTTCGATGTTATTCTGGTTCTTGGTCTGAAAAGCCAGGTGGAATGGCCCCACCACAACGCCCTGTGTTTTCACAGGGCCGCATCCCTATCCAGGTGGACACCATGGGCACCTCGGACGCCGTCGGTGTGTTAGCGCCGACGGCATGGTCGGCACAGACTCGGCACGGTCGGCACTCGCTTCTGCTTGCTGAGGAAGAGCAATTTCATGGAGGCCCGGCGATGTCGAGGTCTCTTTCAGTGCCTGGGCGGTCGAAGAACCTGTGCCTTTTCGAGCTGGGCAGGCAGTTGGGCGGACACGGTGTCCGCCATCGAAAACTCCCAGCTTGGTCTTGTAGTTTTGCAGGATCTTGGTGGATCTAGGTCTTTTGGACCAGAGATGACAATCTTGAACCCTGCTGAGATTGCGCAGCATATGTCTTTTTGCTACACAAAGAACTTAATAAAACAGATCAGGGGCCGGGTTTTCGTGTCGCGGCTTCGCCTGGCACGGTGAGTCTCTAAGTATTCCCTCTCTGTCCCAAGGTAGCAACTCCACGCTATTCTTAAGTATCTCTGGGTTTACAGGACCAACATGTAGGCTGTGTCATGAAGAGAACAAGTTGGTTTTGGTGGGGTGGAAGGCACTGTAGAATTCCCCTTTGTAGCAAGTGGTATGAGGCAGCAGTATTCCAGGACTATTCTGGAGCATCCAGCATTCACAACAAGTGAGCCCCCCCAAGCGCACTCGCATTGGCTGCCTGGTCATGTTCCAGTGAACTTTTCCGGTTGATCCACATCGTTGCCAGGAAAGTGATCTGCGATCCTTTGTCGGTGGAGGGTGTGGTGAAGGCCAAGTTGAAACTGCCCACGGAAATTGGAACTTTCCCAGGCTTGATCATCCTTGATGCGTGACACTTTCAGTTTTTGCACATGTGGGTTGAAATTTGACTAGTGTGGCAGTCGAATATCAATTCTCTAAGGGTGACAGGGATATTGGCACGAATGAACCAAAAAGGCATTCAGAGCAAGTTGAAGACTGCCTAAAATCTATCTTGATAGATGTGGTGTCCTCTTCGTTGAATGTTTTCCTCGCGAGGTGCAGAGTGCTCGGTGGACCTTCTCTACTGTGAGGTTATTTGCCAAAACATGAGCAGTCTTCGACGCTCTTGGTGTATCTTAAAGGACCTCGTGGCCTCCAACAACCTGGGCCAGGTTGACCGGAACGGGGACGAAGTCGACGTGGACCTCGACGTGGACCTCGACGACCTCGGCGTGTCGACGACCGCGACGTGTCCCTTGAAGATCATGGCGGTTCGTGACGACTTCGTGGCCTTCAGAGGCCGACCGTGTGGCCGCGTGGTGGTGTCCATCGATGGCTACCTGGCCACGGTGATGTTCTTGGAAGCAAAACTCAGTAGGCGTCCTGGCGGATCGGTGGATCTTTTTATCTTTCCCCGATGGATTCAAATCCCCAAGCCTGGATACTTTTGGACGATTTTTCGTTTTTTGTTCCCCAGTTCCTATAGGAGCCGCAACTCCAAGGCTTGATGCGGAACTGGGAGATGTTTGCCATTTGGCAGAGAAGGTCGGCTTACTGGATGATGTGAAGCCACAAAACTGGGGGGCCGTGAAAGTCCGAGTGGCTGAGACCAGTCGGTTTCGTCGAAGCATGTTGCTCTGCGTGCGTTGGTTGGCAGCAACCTGTGCAGGGAGCCTCAGCAGAGAATTTTAGCATGAAGTTCCTTAGTTCCTGGTCTGTCTTGACTCATTGGAACACACATCGGCCCTTTTCATTCGGCCTCACCCGAACCTCCTGCTCGAAGGGACAGGTAAGCTTATGGGCGGGGGGAAGGGGGAAGTCATCGCAGTGTATCCAATCTACCCCCAAGATGGGCACCAGCAAGAAGCTACTAGTAACAAGGGCATCGCTACTAGTAACAAGGGCATTACTACTAGTAGCAAGAAGCTAGTAGGTTGGAGGCCATCGCTGCTGGGTTGGAGGCCATCGCTACTAGGGTGGAGACCATCGCTACTATAGCAGCAAGAAGCTACCCCCGAGATGAGCACCCGTTTGGAAAATCCTTGTGCCAATCTGCTCTTCCTGGCAGCTGAGGTTTTTTTGCCAAGGACATTTCCGCTTGGCCATGAATGCGCAACAGAGCAGCGAGCTGTCTTTACCGAAAGAGATCTTGGCAGTTTTGTTCAGTTTGCTGCTTTGACTTAGGATGTTTTTTTGTTTTCCTCATGGGTGGAGCCTCTTCTGGAGAATCTTTGATGTCTTTTCCCGGATGAACTGTCCAGTCCAGGCTGGACAGCCCAAGGTTTGCCATTCTTGGTGCTTTTGCTGGCCTTTATGCGTGATATCTTCTTCCCGCAGCAAGAACATGATCTTTGCTCTACCATGGTGGTCTATGAGAAGTATCTAGGCGCCCAAGGCCGATACTACATTTCCAAGGTTGCCATTGTACAGATCGGCAGTGTATGCTTGCAAGCGTTGGGGAGGTTAAGAGTCTTTGGTGCCATGGTCATTCTAAGACGCACGAGCGACTATGGAGGATATTTGGCCATCCATGAAGTTGACGGTCCAGAGGTGGTCTACTATTGGGACTATTGGGCATTCATTGGATTCTCGGAGTGGTATAGTATATATTCGGATGTTTTCTTTTCGTTCGGAAGAGGCAAGCATTTGTTTTTTTGAAGTGGGCGAGTTGGTAGACTGTCTCTTGGGCAGACGTGGGGAGGATTGTTGCTCGTGAACCTCACATACCCGAATGTCCTCTTCTTCTTTCCACACAAGCAATGGGCTCGGCTTGGTGCATCGTTCATGGATCTTTTCCTCGATATTAGCTACTTGTGCACTTTCAATCTGGTCTTCTTTTGGAGCGGACCTGCTTTTGCATTTCCGACCTATGTTTTCGGTTACATGGCCAACTACATGAGCATTGCCCGCATGTTTGCTGTGTGTCGGTCATTGGACCGGGTGAAAGCACCTAGCAGAACAGAGATGGTGAAAGCAAAAGCTCGACGCAGGTGGACGAAACGACTTTTCCCCTGGTATTCGATCTCGGTCTTCTGCCTGCTGCTGGCCTTCGTTTGGAGCCTTGAGGTGTATCCGATGTGGAGACCCAGCAGCGGGCCCGACCAATGCCTGCCCTGTAGGTGCACAAGGACAGAAGCTGGACTTCATTTGGACACTTGGATTGCACGCTTCATGGGTGTTTTGCAGTTTCTTTTTAAATACGTTTTTATTAGGCAAGAATGCGAGGTGCAGCGTCCTGTCGGACAATGAGTGCCCTAAGGAAGGACAAACATAAATAACGAACAAAAGAACGAAAGAAAGAAGGACAGAAAAGTAAAGAACAGGAAAGAAAAGACAAGACAAGAAAAGAACAGACACGAAAAGAGAACACAATCAAAAAGAACGAAATAAAGAAAGAAAGAACGCAAGAAAGAAGAACGAACGAAAGAAAGAAAAAACACAGAGAGAAAGGAAAAGGAAAGAAGTAAAGAACGAACGAGAAGAAGTGCACCATGGAACGGTCACCCTAAAATGGTCAGGAACAGACTTGTCGTGCGGAAATTTGGCTCAAGGCCTCTGTGAGAAAAGGCGCGCTGCGGCGTCGGTTCTCGCGTTTTTGTGGTTATCAGCCGTAGGCTCTGCGTCTACGGTACCGTCGCCATTACCACCTACGTTGATCCAAGCGTCGAACCAACTGAACTGATTGGCGACACTCTTTGGCGTTGCGTGCCCGCACCGAGAGGCGGGGGTACAACCAGAAATCGTGAGCCGCCAGCCTAGAAGGCGAAGCCAGCGCCACCGATTGCACCAGTCTTTACGACACAGGTCGTTTCGGTGCCATCAAAGGCAACAGTTGAGACATCACAGACTGTTTCGGTGCCGGTGCCTGCAAAGCCGAAGGTGAGACTTGCGACAACTTCAAAGGGAGTTCCGCGAAGCAGGGCCACAGAACTTGGAGTCGAGCGTGAGGTTACAGAACTTAGCACGCGGAGCGTCGCGATTCATCAGTCGAAGGCGGCGTCGTCAGCAGACTTGGAACCGATCCGAGAAGCGATTCGTCCGACTTCCACTCCAAAGGCTATTGGGAAAGTCTTGCCAAAGCCGCCAATGAAGGCAGCTCCAGTAGCAGCTGAAGCATCGACAACATCGAAGTCACCGCCTTCAAAGGCGATACCTGTGCAGTTGTCGAGGCCGGATCCAGTCTTGCTCCCAGACAGAGTTCTTGCCTACGAGAGGTCGCAAGGCCGGGCGGGCGATATCTTTGAAGAGTTGAGATCGTATCGGAACTTCAGCGGATTGTTGCTGGGAAGTGGAGTTGAGCGCAAGTTCAGTCTTTTCCTCGAATACCATCAAGTGCTTGACAGAGGCGTCGCCGAGTCAGCATCGTGGTGGCACAAGATCCCAAAAGACAACGTAGCTCTTGATCTTTGTATTGAGCCACATTGAAGCATCTTCACGAAACTTGGAGGGACTCTTGAGGGCTTGCAACGATACACGTGAGATCATTGAAGAGGACCTGATTCAAGCATTGTTCGTGACTCGTGAGAGGGAAGGTGTGACAGGTAAGTTGGCGACAGCCAGGCAGATCTCCCGAGGCTTTTCGATCCCGTGTTGCATTGTGGAGGACAACGTCCGTGTGATCGCAGAGTTCGTGAAGGCCCAAGAGCAGGGCAATCCGAGAACCCATACTGCACACATCAAGCTGAGGAGGAAGCCAACGGCCGAAAGAGCTGAAGTGGTTAGGCCCTTTTTGGCAGGTTGCAGTGAGGACTTGGAGACTCTGTTCCGACACTATCAACAATGATTCCGTCAGGAGAAATCGCCCCAGCGTGCCAGAGCTTTGCCGTAGCAGCAAGTACTCCGGTTGCAGATATATCATCTAGTACTGACCCCATGGAAGAAGACCAACCAAGACCCAGTTTTGTTCAGGTGCAAAACCAAACACTGAATGAGTTGAATGTTTCAGCGGACCCAGCCATTGTATTGCCGAAGCTCACCAAGAGATTGCTAGGGCTAGATTGGAGAGGGAATTCGCAGGCACAAGTGGCAGATGTTCAAAGAACAGCGCAAGAGAGGGTAGAGTTGTAAGCCATCAAGCCAATGTTGCAGTAGGTCAAATCCAAAATGAAGCACTAGCTCAGGTCCAAATTGCCCAATCCCAAATCCAGCAAGTGGAAGAAGCTTTGAGGTTGGCTAGGCAAGAGAACCATCAAACGAAGGCTTTTCTCGAACAGGCCAACAGGAAGCAGAGGGAGCATGCTGAGATCGTAGAGAGTGTCCACAAGGAGCACCAAATGCAGACCATTGCAATGAAGTCTAGGATCAATCAGCTTGAGGACACCATAGCCCTGCAGTCTAGGACCAGTCAACAGGCAATGGAAGCCAACCAGACACCACCTGGGTCAGAGTCCTTCCGTGGTTTGCACGTCCCACAGTCATTCGCAACACTCAGCCAAGAGCTAAATGGCGCGGAATTCCGTGCAGTGTCTGCCAAGCCTTCAGGAACATCGAGTGCCAGTCACATGGACTCCGAGATGCTTCAACGCACCGGAGCTCCACAAGCAGGTCTGAAAGCGGTCCAGAGGGTGATAGGCTTTTGATGCTGTCAGGAGATGAGTTCGTCAAGGAACTTTTTGGAGAGAAGAGTCTTGATCCAAGCCCAGTAGGTAGAATGCATAGTCAATCACCTCCTCCAATGACGTTGCGCGCACAGTCATCGCCAACTAGCGCATTAGAAACGCAAGTTGCGCTTGTGCCTTCTCAGTTGAAAGTTTTGGCAAATGCAGTGCAAGGCATTGTGAAACATGCTTCATCGGGTAGGGCAGACACGCCTCGTAGCTCCGGAAAGCCACCATCCTCTCCAGGTCCTTTCGTCTTCATCGTCGAGCAACTCCTCAGGGAAAAGCTCAAAGGACAAGAAGCCGGGAAAGGGTGGGTCAGACGGTCGGGGGTCGTCACCAGGTGGATCTCCTAGTGGTAGTGTGGCATCATCTCCATTGCGTTCCGCAAAAGCCAAAGAGGGAATTGATGCATATGCGTTGGAGAAGAAGGTCAAAACATATGAATCCTTGAAACTGCCAACTCTCCCAAAAAGAATGCGCCAGAAGCAAAGACATTCAAATGGTTTGTTCAATGTGATTTGCAAGCTTGCCAAAGCAGATGAAGCACCGGCCTTCAAATGGATCAGCCGTTGTGCAAAGTCAGATGCAGATCTTTCCGATTCGTCGCCGTATCCTGTGTTAGACCGTGTCTTAGGAAGCAAGCTTCTTGAAATGTCCAAGAACACGAGGTTTGCCATGCAATTCCAGACCATGCAGGAAGAAGCACAGAAACACGGACGTCAGCCGAAGGGTCGAAGATTGCTTTGGGTTGTGTTTGAGAAGTTCAAAACGGAAAAGGACACAGGGGTTTCTTTGACACAGGGTCATCTTTTGGGTTTGAAAGTGCAGGGTATTGACTTCCAAGCTCTTGAGAACTTCAGAAACAAGTTTGACTATGTCTGGCAGGCCTTAGAGGTAGAACAGAGACCTTCAAGTTCAGCAATCCGTAGTTTGCTTTTCGAACAGTTGAAGAACCATCCAAGCATGATGTTGACCATTGACAAGTTTCGGAATGCATCATCAGGTTCACCCAAAAGTCACGAAAGGTAGCCCTTTAGGGGATACCTTGAGTTTGTCTTGCGAAGCAAGTGTTGGGACGTCCGGGTCTAATAATTGATCGCTCAATTCAGACCCCCCCCCACCCCGCCCCCCTCGAATTGATTTTTCAATACAGACCCCCCCCCTGTGTTTGGTAGGGTCCTAGGTCCCCCTAGGCGTGTCTACGCTATACGTGTGTAGCACCTGTTCTTGTACATAGATGAGTATGTAGCTCTTCAGTCCGCTTTCGACCTAATTCATTTGGCTCAAGACTTCGTAGCCCAATACCTGCATCCGCAGCCATTGAAAAGGGTGTGCATCGCTGCCGCTCGCACGCCGAACGCACTCGTGTGGCTTCACTTGGTGTTTCGATCAGGTCCAGATATTCAACTGCCACTTCAGGGGGAACTTACCCCTCAAAGTGGTAGCGGAGCTTGTGTCTCCTGCTTCGCAACGGTCGATTTTGCATTCGTGCCGAATCGTCCGATATTCCGGACAGGGGACAACCAAGTAAGTCACTTGTCAGAAAACAAATAGACCATGGTCCAGATCTTTAACATAGATACGGACGAAGAGCATGACGACAGCCCCCTGACCAGCCAGCTGCGAAGAAGGCCAAACGCGTTCAATCTGGTGCACCAAATGCGCCTCTTGCAGAAGCTCAACAAATTGGAGGAATCTTCCCAGGCTTTTCTGGGTTAAGCTGGAAGTGCTTGCTTGGTTGACGTGTCATTGTTATGTTGCCTAATTTCTACGTGGACTCAGGCTACAAGAAGAGCCCCCTCAAGTCTTACGGCCTTTTCTCGTAGTAGCCCAACCCAAGTGGTGAGATTTGGCTGTCATTGTTGCAATTGCAGCCGGACTGCTGTCTATTTTTTGTGGTCTTGTGTGCAAGAATGTTTATGTTTGGTGGAGGTCTTCCAAACAGCGGCTTCTATCGTGGAGTGCTACAGCGTCGGGAGATCAGAGGCTGCAGCAGCGGCCAACTTGCTGAACAACATCGACGAGGAGATCGGGCAAGCCTTGAGCAACCTTGTTCAGCCACTTGATGGCAATTTTTCTGAAGCTCAAGCATTCAATGACATTCCCTTGATCCTGCAAGGCAGCATTCGATGGCACGATTCTTGAAATGACAGCCTGGCTGGAGGCGTTGCGCATCGTTTTTGTAAGTAAAATGCAATGCAAGCTCTGAGCCCTGAGATTTCTTTTGCTGGTCAATTTTTTTCAGAACCGGGGGCAACCTCTTGCCCACCAGGTGCCTGGAACAGAGAGTTTTGTTCCGCTTCAAGCTCGATGCAACCTTGGGACTCACAATTAACCAACACGGTGGACACGCTGACACTGGTCATTGAGCGCATGACCCACGATTGGACCTGTCTGAATGCCAAGATGCGGAAGGCTCACAACTTCAAAGATATTGAAGCTTGATTTAGCCTTTAACCCAGGCAACACTCTTCATGGTTGCCATGTATTTCCGCGCATATTCTACTTGCAATCTACCATTCATGTGGAGCCCAAGGCTTCATCCGACCTCCATGTCTTTTTTGTGTGACTGCACTGCCCAGGAAAGTTACCAGCGCCGATGCAGTGCCTTCTTGGCGCGCATGAAAAAGTTTCAGTCAGACTTCCCGGAGGACTTTGTGGAGGCGGAAC